TCTGTACCAAAGAAAATGAGAAATAATGTTAGGTTTGTTTTTAATGACAATATTTGAAATGGGTAATTAAATTATCAATTTCAGAGAATCGTAAGTTCAAATCAAAATTTCTAACTCATTTGCAGGTAATTAAATTATCAATTTCAGAGTATAAGCTGCTAATTACAAATTTGAAATGGGTATTAACAGATTGGACAATGAGACTCATGTTTACACAGAGAAAAGTGCAAGGTTCATATATAGTCATGGCAAACACAATCAAGCTTGACAAGCACAGACAGACATAAAAGACTACTACAGTGTTGAAAACAATCTTTCTCTTATTTATGGTTTTCTCTGTTTTTTTCATTTCTTTTCTTTTCTTTTTCTTTGTTTATGGTTTATTTGTTTCTCCTTATGTAGTTACTTCAAAGGAATGATCCTCAAAAGTTTATGAACCCCAGAATCGACCCTCCTAAGGGTGCTCTATGTTATGGTCCACCTGGTACCGGTAAGACACTTTTAGCTAGAGCTGTGGCTAATAGAACTGATGCGTGTTTCATCCGTGTTATTGGAAGTGAACTTGTTAAGAAATATGTTGGGAAGGGTGCCTGTCTGGTTCGTGAAATAAAAATAAAAATAAAAATAAAATAAAATTGTCAGCAGAAATATTTTGCTAGGAAAATAAATTGCAAGGTAAATTATGATTTTGATAAAATGATAATATGAGATGCACCTTGTGCAGAAAACAGGGTGAAAGTTCATAAACTTGCGCGGTGAAACCAGTGCCTGCATCCATGATTAACGCCCACAAATTTTGACAAAAAGTAACGCTACTGATATATAATCCATCTACATTTCCTTTCTCGATGTGCTGCACCACCCTTGCATCTGCCACATTATAGTGATACCTAAAACCACATATCAACACCCGCAATCTCATATTTTCAACATTATCCTTATTTTCCCAAACATTCAGATAAAACAGATGAGACTAGAACAGGAGACAGGATAAGAGGAATAGATAAAAGTAGCACACCAAAATAGAGGGTACATGAAAAATTATATAATAGCTAGAATGCCAAAAATGGTTTGAAAAAAATAAATAAATAAACATAAAAAAACAAAAAAAAAATAGGCGGTGTTTGGGAAAGATTTTTTTTGGTTTTTTTCACTAAAAGACAAATTGGTTACAAAACCAAAAAAAAAACAAATCCAAACAAAATATCACACCAAGCCCCATAATCATTTCACTTTTTCTCTCACAAACATCACATCCAACCATAACAAAACCCAACTATCTTCCCAAACACAAAAAAGAATTTCTTCAATAATATCCTACAACTAAAAAAACCCACTTCCCAAACACCCACATAATCACACTAACCATAGTAGAACTTTGCGACTTAGCCTGCATCAATTTCAGTTAACCAAGATAGCGAGCAGCACAAGGCTTGAAACAAAAACATACCTTTGTTTCATAGGTCGACGAGCATTGTAAACACTAATCCATTGTGTTGCAGGCATCCCCAAACGAACCTTTTTCTTGGGTTGTTCCTCTTCCTCGTCATCCAAAGTCAGCCGGCCTCTCTTCTGACCAACTTGAAAGATAAGCTTCAAAGAGGAATGTAAAAGTTAGGCATATTCCACAAATATGGAGGGAAAAAGAAATCAATTGATTTATAAATAAATAGCAACTTTGGCATGAAAATAGGACATCGGAGAATATGATAAAACAATGCAAATACCTTCTGAGCACCATCGGTGTTAATTGGCCTGATATCCGGATTTGGACCCACTATTCCATCAAAGAGTGAAATATTTTGCATAGTTGGGCTCCTCATCGAACTTCAAGTTCACCACATATTCAATAAATAGTCTGAAAGGCTGTGGACAGAAGCAACACAGAGACTCTGGAGATGTTGCCATCTTCTTCTTGCAAACAAGGAAGCTTTTATTCTCACCCTACATGAAGCATCATGTCACAAAAATTGCATAAAGAAACAGTACAGATAAACTTTACCAGTAGAGGTTATTGACTAACCTGGTAACCTTGCCAAGGCAGACGACCACGGAGAAGAAAAATGAGAGTGTAAGCAAGAGATTCTAAATCATCTCTCCTGCTACCAATTCTGCCTAAATGAGCATGCACACTAGCGTAGCGCACTGTTCCCCTGCCAAACAGAACGATTGTCAGCCAAGGAGCAGCAATATTTTATTTTATTTTATTTTATTTTATTTTATTTTATTTTTATTTTTTTATTTTTTTATTTTATAAGCTAAGTAACCATGATGTATCACAAGAGTTGTACCTGAAAACATCAGGCCTTTGGTCATACTCAACATGCAGACCAGTTGAAGCATCTCGCCATCGAGTAGCTATTAGCCAAAAAGATTATAGAAATGATTATAGTTCAACACTGTCACAAAGTAACTGTACAGGACTAAGAATGATGTGACTTGCCTAATCCAAGATCAACCAAAAATAATCTTTTCTCATCTGGAGTTCCTGGAGTACCAAGCAAAAAGTTCTCAGGTTTTACATCCCCATGCACATACCTGCCACATACAGTGATGAATAGAACTAAATATTACATAATCCATAGTTCCTAGACAGCATAGTCACACCTGAACTATAAATTATCATATTCAAACGGTATGATAACAATGAAAAGGTAAAGAAGCATCTTCAGATGACATTTTTTTATGAGTCTTCCGAAGATAATTATTTTAATCCAATGTCCCACGGAATCCTAAAATAGAATACTGCATAAGAATATTCAAGGTTTCCACAATTCTCTCACATCAAAGCTTTAGATTATGCAATCACATACCAATGCTTTACAAATGGTAACCTTCATCCTTAAGGACATCAGACATATGAGCCCAAAGGTGGGGTTGGGGGGAAACCTATTCTAAAAGCTCACTTGTTACACTATGGGCTGATGAGAAGGAAGCCATTTGAAGGGTTGAAATATCAGACAAGTGATAAGAATTTGATCACGCATCCAACAAAAATACATATATATATATTCAATCTAAAAGAAACAAATCAAAAATCGCTACTGAATCAAGCTCTCCAACAAAAATACATATATATATATATATATACCACTAACAAGAACTAAAAAACAGAGACAAATCTAAAAGATTGATCATATTGAAGTTCTACGTGCACACCAAACTTCAACAACAAATCAGATCAGTCAACTCTGGTGTGTTAATCAAGTAGTCCAGTTTGGTTTTGGTTTCTTATAGGCAATAAAATATGCAACCAACCAAACACCAAAACAAGTAACAAACACTTTCATCAAAATATTTTACATCAAAGCAATTGGAGCAAACAAGGAAACTTCAAAAATTACCAGTACAGGTAGTTGAAATGCCATGGCTTCAATGGTAATCCTCCCAAAACACTCTTCCCGGGCCTACGTGGAGGAGAAAGAGAGGGGAAGAGAAAAGGAATTAATATTATCGAAAATAAATTTCAGCACCCCAGGTAATTTCTAATACACAGAATCTAGAATATAAATAGTAAAACATTTAAAAAATAAAAAATAAGAAGTTGACAAGAATGAAATTAATATGTACAACAGACTAATAAGTAACACAACAATTGAATAGAAAGTGAATAATGCCTAAGACTAAGATCAAATTCGAGACATCTAAAATGAGCCAGAAGTAACTATGAACTATCAAACAACATTATATGCATCATATGATTGCCTTGAACAGAAGCTTCCTAACCAGGAACTTTCTGAACTACTTTGTAGACATTAATAAGAATCATTTATATGACCAATAAATAGCATCCCTCATGACACCAACCACTAGGATGCTGATAGTTTGCAAAAATACTTGGTTGCAGGAATCTTCTGAGTGTGACTTTCTACTCCAGAAATACAATTCCATGGTTCAAAGTAAGAAACTTTGTTAGAACCATGTTCCCATAGAAATAGAATTGATGTTCCAATTGAGATGAGACCACTCAAACATATGAATCCTAAGAAAATAAAAGAAAAACTATCAAGATAGAATCAAAAACCACAATTCATAGCTTCCATACACCAAATCAGATCAGTTTTATTAAAGCTAAACCAATACAAACAACACACAGATTGAAATAGAGAGAGAAAGAGAGATTGAAATCGATCGAACCTTTAGACGAAATCGAACTGCTTGAAGCTCAGTGAGACGGCGTAGAGATCAAGGAGAGAGAGAGAAAGAGAGAGAGAGAAATACGAGGCAGGAGAAACGTCGTAGGATTAGGGTTTGATAAGAAGAGAGATCAATCATGGAATAGGAGGGTTAGTGTATGTACCTGAAGGATGAGGTCGTCGTAGATATCAGTGATCTTGTTGTAGGATTTGGAAGCCATTGCGTCGCTGTGGATCGCTCACGATGGTGTGATCTCGGCCTAGGACTCGCTGTGGATCGCTCACGATTGCGTCGCTGTGAACCTTTAGAGAGATTTGGGGATAAGGTAACAGAGGCGCCGAAATGAGATAGTTTAGAGGGAAATTTGAACATTGGCGAATTTGGGAGGAAGATAAAATATTAGGTGCTGTTTGGTTGATTTTTTTTTGGAAAATATTTTTTTTGAATTTTTGGTTTTAATTTTTTGAAATTTGAGATTTTTATTTTTACTTTTAGTGAATATTTTTAAAATTTTAAGCATTTTTTTAGATTTGTTCAGATTTACCTTACTTAAATGTATCAAAAAATTAAAATATTTGTCAAAAAATATTTTAAAAAATTAATAAATACACAAGAATACAAAAAATGTAATGATTTCTAAAAAAAAGTTATTTTTAGTATGCAGTGAATTTTTTAAATATTTTTTCACAAATATTATACTTTTAAAGTGTATTTATGTTTAGTATATCGAATTTTTTTAAAAAACATTAGAATATAACATTTAATGGAAATAAAAAAAATACGAAAAATAAAAAAATTTAATTTTCTGAAAATCCAAACCAAACAAGCTAGTCATATCCTTCGTAAAATTATATAAAATTGACAAGTAATGTAGTTTTGATCAATTCAAGCAACACACATATTGAAATAGATGAAAGAGAGATTAAAAGTTTAGGTGAAGCTTTCAATGGCTGAAAGCAAATTCATGAGAGAGATTACGAGGAAAATGTGAGAGAGAGAAAGAGAAGAAGACGAAGAAGAAGAAGAAAAAGAAAAAGAAATGTGAAATTGGAATCTGAACAAACGAGAGAGAGGAATGAGAGCAGGTGGAGACAGACTAGGGTAATGGTCCAATAGTGGATCGACGGTGGTGCTCGATGGCAGTGATGCTCCTTACCCGACGACGATGGAAACAAAGCGACAGAGATTCAATATCAGGAGAAGGGCAATCGGCGTGAGAGAGAGAGAGTGATGGAATGGGAGAGAGAGAGGCGTGAGAGAATTAAAAGAGAGCAGATGCGAGAGAGAGAGAGAGAGAGAGACGTGTTTAAGCCCTAACTCATTTTAGTGTGTTTGAAATCCCTCTAGAGTTATCACCAAATTAATTTAAAAATCCCTTCAAAAGGATAATAAATAAAAAGTAAAATTATAATAATAAATAATAGAGAGAGAAAGAGAGAGAGAAGAGTGATAAGTGAGAGAGAGACGGAGAGAGAAAGAGATAGAGATAGAGAAAGAGAGAGAGAGAGAGAGACAGGGAGAGAAAGAGATAGAGACAGAGACAGAGAGAAACAAAAGATTAGTAACAGATAGACAAAGAGAGAGAGAGAAAGAGAGCGAAAAGAAATGATCGAGTGAAAAACATAGAAAAAGAGAGAGATAGAGAGAGAAGAAAGATGAGCGAGAGAGACAAAGAAAGAGATAGAGAGAAGAGAGATGAGTAAGAGAGATAGAGAAAGAAAAAAGATGAGAGAGATAGAGAGAAGAGAGATGAGCGAGAGAGAGAGAGAAAGACAAAGAGAGAAAGAGATAGAGAGTGAGAGACAGAGAGAGATGAGAGATTAACAAGCGAGACAGATAGAGAGAGATAGAGATAAGAGATATGAGCGAGAGAGACAGAGAGATGGACGAGAGAGACAGAGAGAGAGATAGAAAGAAAATAGATGAACGAGAGAGAGAAGAGAGATGAGAGAGAGATACGAGAGAGCAAGAGAAGAGAGATAAGCAAAACAGATGGAGAGAAGAGAGATGAAAGAAAGAGACAGAGAGAGAAAAGAGATGTGAGAAGAGATAGATAAGTGAGAGACACAGAGAGAGAGAGAGAGAAAGAGTGATGAGTGAAAGTAATTTTTTAGTTTCCTTTCAGCGACGAAAATATTTTTGTTGCCAAAACTATATATACCGCGACCAAACAAATTTTTAGTCGCTGAAATTAAGGTTTCGCCGACCAAACTTTTGGTCGCAAAAGATAAAAAATATTTTTTTATTTTTCTTTCAGCGACGAAAATATTTTAGTTGGCAAAACTATATATTCCGCGACCAAACAAATTTTTAGTCGCTGAAATTAAGGTTTTGCCGACCAAACGTTTGGTCGCGAAAGATAAAAAATAATTTTTTATTTTTCTTTCAGCGACAAAAATATTTTTGTTGCCAAAACTATATATACCGCGACCAAACAAATTTTTAGTCGCTGAAATTAAGGTTTTTCCGACCAAACTTTTGGTCGCGAAAGATAAAAAATAATTTTTTATTTTTATTTCAGCGACTAAATTATTTTAGTTGCCAAAACTATATATACAGCGACAAAAATATTTTTTTAGTCGCCAATTGTGGCAAATTTAGCGACTAAATTTTTTTTAGTCGCCAATTGTGAGATTTTTAGCGACTAAATTTTTTTTTAGTCGCAAAAAATTAATATACCCCGACTAAAAAAATTTAGTAGGTAAATATTGTACTTTTACCGACTAATATAATTTTTGGTCGGCAATTCCACAACTTTTGGCAACCAAAATATTTTTAGTCGGCAAAAGTGGTCGCCAATTGTGTATTTTCTTGTAGTGCATGGTTTGGCTCGAATGGTAATTCATACCATTAGGCTCATTGTTTGGATGGAGGAAACTCCACCATCTCTGTTAGCTTTGGTCTTTTCTGAATCTTTATAATTTGTTTTCTAGCTTTCACCATTCTAAAAAAAATAAAAATAAATAAAACATAAGACATGGGTGAAAACAACACAATTGTATATCTCACCTTCACAAAAATCATGCATGTTATTAGTTTTGGTTCATCTACATATCCCTTTTTGGACATATATATTCCGATCTCATTAGGAGTTCAAGATCAAAAGACTGCAAGGAATGAGATTTAATAGCAAAGTAGAATGAATTACATGTTAACAGCAATATGTTTGTATAAGTGAGTAGGCAATCTTGGTTTAGCAACAGCCTCTAATGGGGACTTCATGTAACTAACCAATCCAGGATTCTCCGACATGTCTATCTCTTCGGGGTTGACCCCTTGTGGTGGTGTCCAGAGAAAATGGTGCAAAAGGTGACCGAGCATAGATGTTGCCAAGTTGATCCCAAGCAGAGCACCGGGGCAAACACGTCTCCCAGCACCAAAAGGCAGTAATCGAAAATCATGACCCTTCATATCAACATTATCTTCAAAGAACCTTTCAGGTCTGAACTCTAGAGGGTTTTTCCAAACTACTAGATCACGAGCTATGGCCCATACATTTACGTGCGCAATGGATCCTTTAGGGATGTCATAGCCACCAATCTTGAAATTGGTATTAGCCTTGTGGGGAAGCATCAATGGGGTTGGAGGGTGTAACCTTAATGCCTCTTTGGCTACACATTGTAAGTAAGGGAGGTTTGAGAAGTCGGATCAATCATGACACGTTCGTATCCAATTGCACGGTCTTGCTCCTCTTGACCCTTTTGTTGCACTCTTGGGTTCTTAATCAGTTCTGCCATTGTCCACTCAACTAAGACAATTGTTGTGTCGGTGCCTGCTGTGATCATGTCCTGCATGCATGCAAAAATCAATTTACAAAATGGATTAATTAATTACATTTTCTTATCCTATTTTGTTTACTACGGAATGTGTCACAATTCAAATAGTAACAAACATGATTGTGTGTCCCATTTAGTACATAAATATGATAATTACAACATTTTTATAACTGGCTGACTACTTACCCAAAGGAGGCCAATAATGGTATTGTTACTAAGATCATATTTTTCTTGAAGAGTAAGCAAAACATCAACAAAATGCTGCTTGGCACTACCACTTTTCTCGCGGGCAAGCCTGTGTTCTTCCATGATAGCTCAAGTGAGTTGATCCCTACGTGATCCGTGCTTGGCAAAAGCTTCTTCCTCGAGAGGGAACATCCAACGAAGCCATTGAATGTGCTCTGCCATGGCAAGTGACGCACCAAGTTTCAAGCCGTTGGCTATAATCGCCTTGAATTCTAGTCCTTGCTCATCCATATCACCCTTTGAATTTACAAATCGTTTCCCAAATGCAAAGTCTTGTAATGTTGTTGAATACTACTGCTCCCAAATATTTCTTCACTAATAAACTTTTCTCATAATTTTCTGCATGTAATTGTATGTAGAACATAATATTTTTAAAGCCATTTAGACACATTAGTCGCTAAATTTGCAATTTATTCTAGGCCTAAACTAGTTGTAACAACCACTTCCTTACTTAGTCATGCTAATTCTCTGATTTACATTGATTATGTATTATGTGTGATTTGAATTAAAATATTGTCAACAGATGTGAATAGAATACAAATTTGAACTTGTCTGAATCAGTAAACCATAAGAGTAAAATTCAATATTTGGATAGAAAACTAGAGCCTAATTCACATTAGTGTGAGTAAGTCTAGTTTAATTTAAATTAGATTATAATGAGAATTGGTTTAATTTAACCTTGTAATTAATCAAGCTTAGGAAATTAGAGATAAGTTACATCTGTTTTTAGGCACTCATCAATTTAATAAAAGAAAGAGAAGAGTTAGAGAGAGAGTTAGAGCATATGGTTGGAGTCCAACATTTGAGAGGAAGAGAGAAAACCCTAGAGAGCTCTAAAAGAAGAAGGAAAGAAGGGGAAATAGAGGAATCAAGCAAAATCTTTATAAATCAACCCTTTAAGGTAAGAATTTCTTGCTAATTTCATGAAATTAGGGTTTAGACACTTATCATCTTGAAAGACTGAAGCTTAAATTGAGTAGATTCATGGTTATTTAAGAGTTCTAATGACAAGTTTAGAGTTGAGAACGTGTATGAACATAAATGAGAGGAATTGTAGGAACAAGTCAAGATTTGAACATACATGTCATAAGTTCATGAAAATCATGATCATAAACTTGTTTTCTTGCATGGCCTCTCATGATTTCAAAGGAATTTCTATATATAAGCTTGAGTTGAAGCTCTTGAAGTTATGTTTCATGATTCTACAATTTTCCCAAAGAATTTGATCTTTAATGGGATATTTGAGTTTGTATTGAAAGTTATGATCTGTAATTAATGTTGGAAATCCATATTCAAGTTATTTTTAAGAGTTTAAAGGTTTGAAATACAT